GGAAAGTGTTGGGCAACTGTAGGTGGCACTATCAGCTCAATCTAATAAACTTTGGGCCACAGTTCCAACTGGTGTACATTGGCACAGCTCCACTGAGGTCAGTTCAATTCCATTGAACCACTGATTTCTTGATTTACAGTGCTATGAGCAAGAGAAGAACCAGGCACGTGGTCTTTAAGAATTTTATTTGGCTCCAATTTAAATCACTGGCAAAAATCCTATTGACCTCAATAACATAAGCTCCAGCCATAACTACTGGTTCTAGCACATCAAGTTCTAATGGGGCTTCCCTCCAAGAACTTCTGAGATTTATCATAGTGGTGAATTACAGATTCACACCCTCTCCTCCTTGTGGAAGTACAATTTTCCCTAAGTGCTATGAAATTCTTTTCGTATTGTAGATTTCTCTGAATTGGCTCACCCTGGTTCATCACCCATTGCCCGGAGTAAATGGTTGCCCTGAGACCCTTTCAAACAAGTCTGAAAAGAATTCAAATGAAATCATAATAAAGGTCGTACTATGTAAAAGCACACTGGTAAAAGTAATACTCGCTGCATTTAATTATTATTTCTTCTTTCTTTAATATTTATATGAAATCTTCCACATTAAGAGCCCACAGTTTAGAATTAAACATGACCTAAGCCTTTAGTGCTAATACTGTCCCAGTTAATCAGTAGCTGGTATGAATGACAATGTCCACATTAGGCGAAATTGGCTCTCTGGGAGATGTCCCTGTGAAGAGGTTGCCCTGATTAAGTGCATCTTAGTATACAGAAGTATTCTGTATAACCCTTTTCATACGATAACTCAAGTGATAACATCATTTTTAGGGCTGAAACTTGTCAAAGCTTCTTTAAGACTGATGCAGAACATCTAGTTTCTTGGCCAGAGTACTCTAGAAGCAATATAAATAGTACTCTACCAATCTCCCTTCACCCCCGCCCCCCCATATTGACCTGTAATATGATACAAGTGAAGGGCCTGAAGTCTTATCCATTTTAAGAAGACTGACAAGTAGATTTTTTTCAGCTGATTTTCATAGAACTTTCCTAGAAATCAGATCTGAAAGAAACATATGTTATTAAGTACCTAGATTAATAGCTTTTAAAACCAAAAGGAACTATTAGGATCATCTAATGTGGTCTCCTGAAAAAAAAATGCCATAAAATTTCACCAGTAATTCCAGCAAACCCAATAACTTGTGGCTGAAGTAGAACATACCTCTTTGTCCATGCCAGATTGCCCCATACAACACATTTTCTAGCGTTTTGTCCAATCCAGTTTTAAAATTTCTAAGTGATGTGGCTCCCATCACTTCCCTCCAGAGACTATTACACAGCTTAATATTTACTATTAAGCTTTTCCTGATCTAAATTTCCCTGATATTAATTTCATCCAAGTACTAATTATTTCCCTATATACCGCCTTAGGTAATTCTACTCCTCTCCTGCTGTGTCCAGACCCTTCAGATATGTGTCCCTTTTTCATCTTATTCCAGCTATGCTTATCTAGAACTGTTAATTTTTTCCTCAGAAGTCAATTCCTCCAGTCTCTTGGATCATCATTCTTCTTCTCTGATTTCCCTTGTCAACCTCATTGTGAGAATTCAACAACTGGAAATGAGCTCAAAATTCTAGTCTTATGGAGAGGGACTATGCCTTCTATTAGAAGCACTGCACTTGCACCTAGAGGCCTCAGATGAGATTAAGGCCCCATTTATACCACGCACCATGCATTCACATAGTAAGAAACAGTCCTTGACCCCAAAAAGATCTTATCATCTAAACCGACAAGACATAGACAGATGGTGTGAAGTGACCACACAAAAAGATCAATTCTAAAGCTGGGAGTAGAACCCAGGTCTCCAAAATCCCCATTTAGGGCCCTATACACTAGATTAGTGTTTCTCAACCTTTTTGATTCCAGTAACCAACTTGCTACCTTCCTAACCTGTGCCAGGGAGTTCTCAGGGACCGACAGCAGTTCATGGACCAGTCGTTGAGAAACACTGTGCTAGACCACTCTGCTTCCCCCATGACTTTACTGCTTCGTGATATAATAAAACACTCTTCCAGGACACTCATGAGATATTATGATTTATGCTGTTCTCAAAGCATGCAAGGCACTTTCCGGACAAACAAAGAGATAAGGTTTCTGCCTTACTACATTTACAATCTCAATAAACAATGTAAAATGTATGGACGGGGATGAGATGTGACAATAAAGTGATGGAGCACTGAAGTTTAGCGCAGAAGGCATCTTGTTAGTTCCACTATTTTTGTTAAGTTTTTATTTTTAAAAGATTTTCTGTCTGTTCTGATATACCTCAGTGTCAGGGAGGCCTAGCATTTGTGTGTGTTCTGGTAGAGTGTTTTAAGGAGTGATTCAGAAGAGAGATTTCAGAGTAGCAGCCGTGTTAGTCTGTATCCACAAAAAGAACAGGAGTACTTGTGGCACCTTAGAGACTAACAAATTTATTAGAGCATAAGCTTTCGTGGACTACAGCCCACTTCTTCGGATGCATATAGAATGGAACATATATTGAGGAGATATATATACACACATACAGAGAGCTCCATTCTATATATATCTCCTCAATATATGCTCCATTCTATATGCATCCGAAGAAGTGGACTGTAGTCCACGAAAGCTTATGCTCTAATAAATTTGTTAGTCTCTAAGGTGCCACAAGTACTCCTGTTCTTCTTTTTTTCAGAAGAGAGAGTAGAAGCATAGTAGGCTAGGTTAAAGAAACACCATGTTTAACAACAACCTCAGTAATACCCCACTACAGCATCAGTGGGCAGGTAGGGTTGCCAGGCGTCTGGTTTTCGACTGGAATGCCTGGTTAAAAATGGACCCTGGTGGCTCCAGTCAGCGCTGCTGATCGGGCTGTTAAAAGTCTGGTTGGCGGCGCAGTGGGGCTAAAGTAGCCTCCCTGCCTGCCCTGGCTCTGCGCAGATCCCCAGAAATGGCCAGCATGTCCGGCCCCTAGGTGCAGGGGTGATCAGGGAAGTTCCGCGTGCTGCCCCTGCCCTCAGCGCCGGCTCCACAGCTCCCGTTGACTGGGAACCATGGCCAATGGGAGCTGCGGGGGAGGTCCATGCAGGCATGGGCAGCATGCACTGCTCAGAGCCACCTGGCGTAGGGGCTGGACATGGCAGCTGCTTCTGGGAGCAGCGTGGAGCCAGGGCAGGCAGGCAGGGTGCCTTAGCCCTGCTGCACCACCGACCGGGAACCGCCTGAGGTAAGCGCCGCCCACACCCCGAACCTCCTGCCCCAGGTCAGAACCCCCCCCGTACCCTAAGTCCCTCCCAGACCTTGCACCTCCACCCGCACCCCAACCCCTGCCCAAGGTAGAAACCTCCCACACCCCACACCCTCTCCTGCACTCCAACCCCTGCCCCAGCCCTGAGCCCCCTCCTGCACCCCAAACCCCTCATCCCCAGCCCCACTCCAGAGCCTGCACCCCCCTCCTACACCCCTCACCCCCTCCTGCCCCAACCCCCTTCCCTAGCCCAGTGAAAGTGAGGGTGGGTGAGAGCGAGGGGGGGGCTGAATGCGGGGGGGTGCAGAAGAGGGGTGGGGCAGGGGGCAGGGCAAGGGTGTTTGGGTTTGTGCAATTAGAAAGTCCTCCAACCTTATGGGTAGGACAGGACCCAGGAGGGCCTATACAGATTATCCTAACCCTGACACCATAAGGTATGTCTACACTGCAGTTAAAAAGCTGTGACTGATGTGTGCTAGCTGGCTTGGGCTCACAGGGCTTGAGCTAAGGGGCTCTTTAATTGAGGTGTAAATGCCTGGGCTTGGGCTGGAGCCTGGGCTCTAGGACCCTGCGAGGTGGAAAGGTCCTAGAGCTCTGGCTGCAGCCCGAGCCCGAATGTCTACATCACAATCAAAGAGCCCCTTAGCCTGAGCCCCACAAGACCAAGTCAGCTGATATGGGCCAGTCATAGGATTTTAATTGCAGTGTAGACATAGCCGTGGAGACTCCCCGAAAGAGACAATACAGTGCCGTACTGACACTCTGATGGATCTCCTGCTGGCTAGGGATCACCTGTGCTAGCAGGAAGCTAGGTTAGGGCTCATAAAGTTTAAGGCCCAAAGGGACCACCAGGGGCTATCAGGGCCAGAACCAGTATGGGGACACATGGCCCCTAGTGTAGGGGCCAGGTGTCACATATTCTCCAGGGTCTGCTGGGTTTGGGGATGGGCCCAGTGGCCTTTAAAAGTCCAATCCTCAGGGCAACCCTCAAAGAGACTTCTTTCTCCAGAACCCTGTCCTGTAGGTTTGATTATGGAAGGGGCTTACATAGTCAATTATTTGTTCTATCCTTTTACTACGACTGTTTTTTTGCAGTGTGGTGGCTCCTAAGGGCCCTAGTCAGGGAAAAGTGCTCAGCACTGTACACGCATAATAAAACTATGATCCCTGCTCTAAAGAGCTTGCAGTCTAATTGTATTACTAAACACAACAGGTTGTTTTGACTTATGGACTAGTAATTGCCAGGGTCAATCTCCTTTCATTTACTTTTCTCAGACTTTTACTGCTTCACCAATTATCTGTGATTTGTCAGAGATACAGTAAGTCAGTTAAATAATTCCCTTAGTAGGTTTGGGCCCAAATAAATTTCATATTCATATGACTAAAGTTACTCACATGGATAAATATTTGCAAGATTGGGATCTTAGAATGCTTTTTTAACAGCCAGAAATATTGGACAAAGAATTAAAAATATAAATCAATTAAGTAGTTCATGTAATGGCATGTTGCTTTAGTTTTATGGCAATAGTTTTAATTTAGTTTCTTCTAATGTCATCTCTGATGTGCTTTCCAAGTATACTAGTGTTCTTTCTTTAAACATTTATCTTAGTATTATACTAAAGAGCTGAACATAAATGAAATCTAATTAGTAGGTACTTTGAGCTTCTGTTTTACTGAAAGAATAATTAAGCACATCTTCATATCAGTGTATGATTTCCTCTTCACATATAGGCTTTGCCAATCCACAGACTGGAATAGCGAACATGTCTCAAAGCAGTTTACATAATGCACTTCACATCTATATGAATGGCTCAATGTCCCAGGTACAAGGATCTGCTAACGATCCTATCTTTATCCTTCACCATGCCTTCGTTGACAGGTGAGTTTGACTCTTCCTCGTAAAACTGATCTGTTTTGTGTATTTAAAATGTGCTTTTTACATTAGTATCAAACTTCAGATAATTTAGATGCTATTAAACTTACAATATTTTCAGACATACATAACTGAACTCTTCATTAATTTAGTCTAATTGACAGCAATAGTGTTGTAATTTTCATACTTTTATGAATGTTCACCATATTAAAAGAGTGTTGAAAAACTAGACAAATGTATTAATAATAATTCAGTGATTTTGTGGTGAATAGAAACGTATTCAGTGTCAAGGAGTCTGAGTAAAAAATGTGATTTACGTTAACATTCCTATGTTCAGATGGAATTCCCCTCAATTCCAAATATTAATTTTGTTTGAATCGATCATTCACAAGAAAAATAATCATATCGATCGTTCATAAACAAAAATGTCAAAATCCAACTTTTCAGTGCGACACACAAAACTGTGAAAGCCTTCAGCTGGAACAGAAAGGAGCTGTAGTTGTGCAGACAAAAAGAAAATCAAACTGAAGGAAGCCAGGTTTGTTAGAAACAGGAAAAGAACTTCAGTTCTGCAAACAATGGACAAAATTGCTAAGAGAAGGATTATTTTCCTTCTTCGACAAGGTAACTAGTCTAGTGGATGGAGGGAAGATGTTGACATAATGTATCTTGATTTTAGTAAGGCTTTTGACAAAGTACCACGTGACAGTCTCATAAGCAAACTAGGGAAATATGGTCTAGATTAAATTACTCTAAGGTGGGTGCACAACTGGTTGAAAGACTGTTCTCAAAGAGTAGTTATCAATGGTTTGCTGTCAAACTGATAGAATTCAACCAGATGAAATTCAGTGAAAACAAATGCAAAGTGCTACATGGGGGGGGGGGGGGAATCAAATGCACAAACACAATATAACTGGCTAGATGGTAGTACTGCAGAAAAAGATCTGGGGGTTACAATGGATCACAGACTATATAAGAGCCAACATGTGGTATGCAGGCCTGTGAGTTCCCAGACAGCCATCACATGCTGACTGCCACCTGAAGTCTTCTGAAACCCCAAGGGCCAAGGAGCTAGCAGGACTACAACCTCAGCCAAGCACCATGCACAAAAGCGCTGATTGGAGGATTGACCAGCTCCACCAATTAGTCCAGCTATGCTAATTAAGCCAGAAGGAAGCACAGGAAGTTGACTGAGCAACTAGGTGATTTACCACAGCAGCAACAGCAGACCCTGCTCATGCCTGCATTCTACACCCAATCCTGCTCCTGATTTCTGCTCCGCTCCTGGCCCTGCCTTCTCTCCTAGTTCCCACCATGCTCCTGATCCGTGCCTGATCCTTGCCTAGCTTTCTGGCTCTAACCCCCAGCTCTGACTTTTGACGCCAACTCTGGCTTGACCCCTTGGCTCTGGTAGTCAGCAGTTGACTCAGTTGCTGACTCTCAACTCAGTTCCCTGACCTGGATGCCTGATCTGCCCACTACACCTGACTCCTGCTCTGACCAGTAGGCCAAACTACCTATGTCCTGGTCCCTAACACGCAGTTGCAAAAAAGGCTAGTATCATTCTGGGTTGTATTAACAGGAGTGTTGCATTTAAGATGCAGGAGGTAATTGTTCTGCTCTACTCAGTACTCCGATGGAGTACTGTGTCTAGTTTTGGGCACCACACTTTAAGAAGAATGTGGACAAATTGGAGAGAGTCCAGAGGACAGCAACAAACATGAGAACAGTTTTAGAAATCATGACCTATGAGGAAAGGTTAAAAAATTGGGCAAGTTTAGTTATGAGGAAAAAAAGACTGAGCAGAGACCTGATAGTTCTCAAATATGTTAAGGACTGTTATAAAGAGGACAGTGCTCAATGGTTCTCCATGTCCACTGAAGGTAGGACAAGAAGAAATCTGCTTACTTCACAGGAGGGAGATTTATGTTAGATATTAGGAAAAACTTTCTAACTAGTTATGGTCTGAAATAGGCTTTCAAGGGAGGTTATAGAATCCCTGTTATGGGAGGTTTTTAAGAACAGGTTGGACCAGGGATCGGCAACCTTTGGCACACGGCTCGCCAGGGTAAGCACCCTGGCAGGCCGGGCCAGTGTGTTTACCTGCCGCGTCCGCAGGTTCGGCCGATCGTGGCTCCCACTGGCCGCGGTTCATCGCTCCAGGCCAACAGGGGCAGCGGGAAACGGCGGCCAGCACATCCCTCATTCCGCACTGCTTCCTGCAGTCCCCACTGGCCTGGGATGGCGAACCGCGGCCAGTGGAAGCCGCGATCGGCCAAATCTGCGGACATGGCCGGTAAACAAACGGCCCGGCCCACCAGGGTGTTTACCCTGGCAAGCCGTGTGCCAAAGGTTGCCGATCCCTGGGTTAGACAAACACTTGTCAGGGATGGTTTTATTTAATCCTGCCTCAGTGCAAGGTAAAGGACTTGATGACCTCTCAAGGTCCCCTCCTGCCCTACACTTCTATGATTTCTGTGACTTTCCAAGATTTGAAGCTGAAATTAAAAATGTAAAATATTTTATTTGCCAAAATAGATTTTATATATGTGTCTACAAATATTTGTACTATAGCATTGCTATTCATTTGTAAAGACCAGAAAGCAAGCAAGAAAGAGACATGGCCAGTTAATCAAAAGACAACTGCAAAATCATAAATATCTGATTAGCAATGCTTTTAAAATAGGTTGAAATTTACCAGATTCTTATCAGCTATGTGACTGCCCACATGGTTCCGAATAGCAGCAATGGAAAATGGCAAGATTCTGGTCAGATCTCCTTCTGCTGTACTTGTAGAAACTCTGAGCAGCAGCAGAGACACTGGAATAGTCTGTCTGCAGACTTGGGAAGGCAGCAGAGGGTTCCTCTGCTGATGTAAATTAAAATAGCTTCATGGATATCAGTGGAACCAGGCCAGATTTACACCAGCTGAAGATCTGGCCCTAGAAATATAATTTTGTTCTTTTAAAATGAATTTTGCAAAAATTGATGTCACTCCCCCACAGAAAAATTCCTGCTCATGAGGGTGAGTGGTTTTCTCAAGCCCTGTCCTCTTCCACACATCACTCTGCTCAGTAAATCAATCAGTTAGCTGGGCTGGAAGAGGTAAAACTATAAAGCTAGGAATCACCTGTGTACTAAAGACACTTGTGACAAAGTCAGGCCGGACAGCTGCAAGACGGTGTGGGAAGGCAGATATGTTAGCCCTAGAATGTTAAAGGCCCTCTTCCCTATAAGCTGAGAAGGGGTTACCTCAGGTCAATTAGGAACACCTGGATCCAGTTAAGGGCTGCCTGAGACCTTTTAAAACCAGGAGAGAAAGATGATCTGCTACCAGGCTAGTGGCAGCAGGAAAGTAAGCCTCTCCAGGAGGGGAAGCTACAGCTTCTCCCCATAGGGGAAGCAGACAAACCTGAGTGCCTGCTAGGGGAAGGACTGGTACCCTGGGGCAGACTACAGGGCAATCCCCAGCCCCAGTGAGGAGGCAGGGGAAGGTGTCACCGTTTGGTTTTGTGTTTATGGGACTATTCCCCTTTTGTTTGGTGGAGGATCATCCTGTAGGCCTGCCCTCGGGCCTACCCAGGGAATATGGCCAAAGGAGCACGGAAAGGGGGAGGATGAATGCTGCCCAGAGTGTGCTGGGGCTAATTTATCCCAGGACCGCCATCACCAGAGGGGGAAGTGCTTGGTCCGGTGAGATGAAGGAGATGCCTTCCACACACTGCAACCCATATTTCCTCACTGACCATCGTAACTGCCCCAGGACACATTGAATAAGATAGTTGACATGAGACCACAACCCTCAGAGCAGAAGACCAGTGCCCAGTCTTTCAATAATTTCATAATTTATTATATGCCTAGAGCCACAAAGTCCTCCCAGGTGGAATTCACCCCACACAGTGGGACCAGCACAAGATCTATGCATCACTTCAGTCCCACTGAGACCAAGGCTTACATGTTGCATAGGCCCCCATGCTGAATTTCACTCCTAGTTATTATGAGCCTCTGGAAACACTTTCAAAAACTGTAATCATTATCAATTTTCTAAGATAAACTTTGCAAAGAAAACATCATGGGATCCTATTGGTATTGACGAAGTAAATCACCGCACACAACTGTGAAGACAATGCAAAAGCTATGGTGCAACCTCATACTGTCTGTGGCAGAATAAATGTTACCACCACTTGCAGCTAATGGTAATAATGCTGCCTTTTGCATAAGTGACAAAAATACATTAGCATGATTAGGGTTACTTAGCAGCCTTATCCATGACAGATTAATCATGCTTTTAGTTGTAATTAGTAAGTAGGTGACTGATAGGTAAGTACAGTACATTTAATAAACTGTTCCTCTCCTACATAGTCTAAGGGCTGTGGAGGATTCCTTTTATGAGAGGCAGGTGGGCATACAAAGAATAGTGTAGAAAGAGAACAATAATCACTGCAGCAGTGCGGAAAGTTTTGTCTCAAGCTCAACTTTTATGCTTCAGTCAGAATGCATTAGAACTCTGATTGTAATTACAGTGTTGGGTCAGTGGGTTTCTATTTCTAACCCTCTCTGCCTAAAGACTTCAACAGGAGTTCCCTACCCACTGGAGTACTTAGTAAACATTAGGAGACCTGTGAGGTGATGGCCTACAGAAGGGAGATTTAAAAAACAAAAAGCCTATAGTGCAAGTAGGTATACACAGACAGTGATACCAACCACTGTTGTCGACCTTCAGACCCTCGTAGAGGCAGAGAACTGTGCTATATCTTTAACTTTTTTTCAGAGAGGAGGGATGGTCCAGTGCATTGGGTGATAGCCTTGGTGATAGCTTCAGGAGATTCAGGTCTAATTCCCCACTCCACCAGATTCCCTGTGTGAACTTGGACAAGTAACTCAGGTGCCTAATTTCCATTGACATCAATGGAAGTTAAGTGTCTGCATAACTCTGAGAATCTGTATCTTGTGTCTCTCTATCTAACAGGGTTATTGTGTGGACAAGTACATTAACAATGATGAAG